CTAGAATAAAAAATACTATACTTGTGATGGTACGAGTATTATAAATTTATAATATAATATATTATTATATAATTAACTATTTTTATTTAAGAATCCACTAGTATTATTATATATATTTACTCATTTAATACTATATCATATTTATTTAATATTATAAATTATAAATTTATAAATTTATTAAGATAAAAAAATAAAAATATCATTATATAAGATGAAAAGTTAAAATTTAAAAATTTATTAAAATAAAAAAAAAAGTGTGTTTTAGCCGCTTTCGGCTACTGACTCTCGCCATCTATGACGAATTTAACCGGTGTAGCGAGTTTTGACCAGGTCAAAGTCGATTTTACTACAGAAGGGTGATAGGCTGATAGCACATAATCGGCCGGTTTTAATGCCCAGATCCAGTTGAACTGGTCCGGGCCGGACCAGGTTTTAAAACATTGAAATGTAAATAAAAAAGGAAAAAAAGGAACTCCGAAGTCTGAATGTCTAATTAGTTCCGTTGGGCCATAGTTCGGCCGAACCCAAATTTTATGCTTTCTTACAATATTGGGTCCCTTCCCCTTTCACATCCAGCATAATCCAAAAATTTTCAAATAGCGAATCATGCAAATAAACCCTTAAATTTGGTGATTGGCGTCATGTTAGCCTTGCAACCCAAATCAAACACATCCAAACCTTAAACTCTTCAAAGATCGCAAATTAGCACTTGTCAAACAGACCACGTCATTTAACTGTCTAAAACTAACGGTGAGTAGCTTTGGGTTTGGGTGGAACCCACTAGTGACATGGTGCATTGTTAGAACAAAAAAGATTTAAAATAATTTTTTATATTATTTTTTTATGTAATTTTATATATTATTTAAATAATTAATTTTTTAAATTAATTTAAAATTCATTTATAATATTAAATATATTTATTTTTTTAATAATATATAATAATTATATAAAAAATTAAAATAAAAAATTATTTCTACATCACTGCATTGCTTGGATTGTTTTTGCTTAGCTCGGGAGTTGCTTTAATTATTAGTAAAAAGGTGGAGTGCTAAGGGCAACCGCCCTTCAGCACATTCTCCCTTAATTTTTTGCCACGTAGCGAAAGACTAAACATTTTCTTTAATGATTATAATCAGTTCCGTCTCTTTTTACCTTTGCTCTTTGCCCCTGCTTTTTTAACTCTTTTCCTCTTTTCCTCTTTTTTCTCTATCCCTCTTCTCATTCTTCCTCTTTCTCTTCTTTGTTAGACAATATATTAGATAACTAAATTTGAATTCTTCGATTTGAGAAAATAGGCCTTTATTTCAATCCCCATAACTTGTTAAACATTCTATTTTTTTATATATTTTTTAATTATACACCTTTTATTTGTGAAAAGTAAAAATATGAGTGACAAAGGATTTCTTAATTTTAATCATGAAAGGTGGTACTTCTGAAAGTATTTGTATTGTTTTTGTGCAAGTATAGCTCATTCTTTATTGATTTCTTTAATTGGTTTTGTTTATTTTAGCTTGATATGTGAGTTTTCTGACTTGAATTGAGTTAAATTTTTTTTTTATTTAACAGTAATAGATTTAATTTTGTTAAATTTGTTTTTTGTTTTGCGTTTGGGGAAATCAGATTTGAAAATTAATGACCTTATAAAATCTTTAATTAGTTCTTTGGTTTTTGCATAAAATAGATAGTTTAAATAGATAAAAAATTTAATGAGAATGAACTTGTCTTAACTTGGGTTGATCTTGTGGAAGTTCAAGACACTGGAAAAAGAAATTAAAGGAACAGAAGTAACAAGAAGATGACGCAGGACCAAATCTACGGATTGACTTGGGAGACTTTTTTTGGTATTTTTTAAAGACTTTTTAACAACCTAAAAATCCAATAATAATACTGAAGAAAATGGAGTACAGAGGTTCTGAAGTGAGAGAGGGCTGCTGTTACATATATAATTAGGCATTTTTTAATAATATATTTACTATTTACATTATATAATATTTTATAATATTATAATATATTATAAAATATTATATAATGTAAATAGTAAATATATTATTAGAAAATGCATAATTATATATGTAACAATCCCTCACTTATTTTTTAATAATATTATTAAGTATACTGGTATTGTATAATGCATATCCAAAAGTGGCCAAGGCTTGAACCTTTGGATTGAATATGAATTACTGAAGAACCATATTCACATTATACATGGGCTCAAAGTTTCACCATGGCAAACGCATTTATAAAACAAAGGGCCTTGCGCTAATCCTGTTCTAGCAAGTACTCTAAGATTAACAAGTGTAATCTATAGAAGGCAGCCTCTGACCTTCCTACTTGCATAGGTAGACTCATCAAGAATGTTCACAACTTCCATTCCACTAGAGTTAGTTATGAGTCCATTGAGAATTTTAACGTTCAACCTTCTTTGTTGTGAATAACAGTGTACTTATCTAGGTAAAGGACTTTAAAAGAATAGTTTTATTTATTTTATTACCCCCACTATTCTTTAAATAATAAAGTACACTGGAAATGTGATACCTCGTGCTTACATTTCTTAAGTAATTCATGAGAGAATTGCCATTGAACTTCTATGCACTTGATTTTTGATTAAAGACATGTCTTCATATCAACATCAAAGTGATGAAGTTGGTTTCAAACATGATCACTCCACCATTACTGGTAAGAGTCCCATACGTCTCCAAATTTTACTTAACCTTTCTCCGTTTAATGGTTTTGTTAAGAGGTGAGCCAACATTTGTTTGGTAGGTAGATATTCTACCTTTACCCTCCCTTTTTTCACAACACTTCTTACATAATTATATCTCATAACAATATGTGTTTGCTATTATTAGATAACCTTTCATTTTTAGCATTGTGAATTGCAACTTTATTATCACAAAATAATGTGATGGGTCTTCTTGGTATTTCCACAAAAGGAATACCTTTAAGGAATCTCCTTAACCATAAAACTTTGTTTGATGCCAATGACATGGCAACATACTCAGATTCCATAGAAGACAAAGCCACACACTTTTGTCTTTTAGAGGACTAAGAAACAATGGATCCACCAATGGTAAATAACCATCCACTTGTTGATTTTAAATTTTTCTTATCAGATGCCTAATTAGCATCACTGTAACACTTTAAGACAAAAGTAGAGCAATTATAATACAAGCCAAAATGCAAAGTATATTTCAAATATCTCGTAACTCTACTAATCTCATTCCAATGCTCAACACTAGGACTACAAGTAAATCTACTTAAAATTCCAATAGCACATGCAATATCATGCCTAGTATGATTCATGGCATACATTAAACTACCACTAATTTTAGCATACTCCTTTTGATTAATAGGTTCACCTTGATTAGGAATTAATTTAACATGTGGATCAATTGGAGCTTTACTAGGCGTACAATCAAAATAATCAAATTTCCTTAATAATTTGTCAATATAATGTCATTGAGTCAAAATATATGTACCATCCTTTTTAATAACTTTAACTCCTAAAATGACATCTATTGGAACTAAATCCTTTATGTCAAATGCTTGGGTTAAATAATTTTTAGTCTCATCAATACAATGCATGTTAGAACCAAAAATTAATAAGTCATCAACATAAAGTGTAATGAGAACTTTATAATTACTAGTAACCTTGGTAAAAACACAACTTTCTACTTTACTACATTTAAAACCAAACTTCCTAATCTCCTTTTTAAATTTCTTATACCATTGCCTAGGTGCTTGCTTAAGTCCATAAAGAGACTTGTTAAGTTTACATACCTTATCCTCTTGACCTTGCACTATGTATCCGTCGGGTTAATGAATGTAGATTTCCTCATCAAGTTCTCCATTCAAAAATGTTGTCTTCACATCCATTTGATGTACCTCAAGATTGTAAATGGATGCAATGGCAAACATAATTCTAATAGAAGCAAATCTAGTTACTGGTGAAAATGTCTCAAAATAATCCAACCCTTTTTTTTGACTAAAACCTTTAGCTGCTAATCTTGCTTTATATTTATCAATGCTACCATATGTATTTAATTTCTTTCTCAAGACCCACTTGCAGCCAATAGGTTTAGTATTAGGAGGAAGATCAACCAAAATCCATGTATTATTATCATGAATAGATTTTATCTCATCATCCATGGCTTTCTTCCATAAAGAAGCATTTGGTAAAGCCATGGCTTCACTAAAAGTTCTTGGGTCCTCTTCCTAAGAGTATGTAAACATACCAGGACCAAGATCCTTTTCTATCCTTCTTCTTTTACTTCTTCTCAATTCTGGTTCTTCCTCCTTTTTGTTCTCATATTCTTGGTTGGGTACACTTTCATGCAAATGACCCATGTGACTAGCATTGTTTTCACATTTTTAGTTAAAAGCACTTTCACGCAAGTTATCACCCATGTGACTATTATCAAGCTTTTGACCATTCAAACAATTAGAATAAGACAAAATAGTTATACCAACATCTTCCGCATGCTTATTGTGTGCAAAAGAATTAAATTCCAATTCATTTGATAAATCCTTTTCGAATTCTAAACTATCAGCATCTTTAATAGTTAAATGCTCAAAATAAATTGCATGTATAGCCTCAAAAGCATTATTAGTCTTCAAATTAAGAAATTTATACGCTTTGCTGTGCAAGGAATAACCAATAAAAATTGATTTTATAACCTTACTACCAAGTTTAAGCCTCTTCATGGTTGAATCTAAAACATATGCAATGCAACCCCAAATTTTAAAATAATCAATATTTGGTTTCCTACCATTTAATAATTCATATGGTGTCATATCCTTACCTTTATTCAAAATTCTATTGGAAATATAACATGTATTAAATAATGCCTCACCCCAAAAACTAAATGGCAAATTAAAGTGAATTAACATGGCACTAACCATCTCCATCAAAGTTCTATTCTTCCCTTCAGCAACTCCATTTTGTGGAGGTGAATTAGGAGCTGAAAATTCTCTAACAATACCATGTTTTTCACAAAAAAACAAAAAAAAAACAAAAAAAAAAACTCATTATAATTAAATTCACCACCTCTATCTGATATAATTCTTTTAATCTTTCTATTTGTTTTATTCTCTATTTCTTGCTTAAAAATCTTAAATTTTTCTAAAGCCTCATCCTTAGTTCTAAGCAAATAAACATAAGTATACTTAGAAAAATCATCAATAAATGTTATAGAATAATGTTTACCACCTCTGGTCAATTTATCTTTGTTATCACATAAATCAATATGAATGAGATCCAACAAAGATTCCTAATAACAAATTTAAAAGATGGTTTAGTACTTTTAGATTGTGCACAACATTCACATGTTTTTATGTTAAGAGTAGAGTTAGATTTAGGAATATATTCATGAGAAATCATATGCTTTAATGCATTGCTACCTATATGCCCTAATCTAAAATGCCAAAGATGAATAATATTACTAGAATTAACAATATAAGCAGAATTAGATGCATCTTTATTTATACTAATAGCATACATATTGTCTTTTGGCATAGCCTTTCCCAACAAAGGATCCTTTCTTGGAAATGATCACTTTTTGGGAGTCAAATACAACTTTAAACCCATGATCATCAAGTTTTTTTTATAGAAATTAAACTTTTCCTAAGACTTGGAATTGATGAAGCACATCCATATTGAATATGAGGCTCGAAAAAGGGATGGTCAAGAAAAGAGTGATAATGTGAATGCTTTGGAGGAGCCAACATCTTTTTCCAAGAAACCCAATCACAAGTTCAAGACAAGACAAAAAGGGTCTTCTTCAATGAAAGGCAAAAATGGCAAGAACTTGGCAACTTTCAAAAAGAAGAAAGGACCATGCTTTGTATGTGGAAAATGGGGTATGTTGCTATGCAATGCTACCATCATAAAAGTAAGAAAATTTGTGAAACAAATATCATCATAGAGGATGATATGGTGGCTATGCTCACTACATTACTAGTTATAAACAATGAAGAGGATTGGTGGCTTGATTCAGGAGTAATATGCCATGTGACTCCATTTAAAAGTTTTTTTAAGACATATGAAAAAATGAATGGAGAAAAATCTGTCTTCATGGGAAATTCTTCCACGTGTGCAGTTGTTGTTATTATTTACATTATATAATAATTTATAATATATTATTATTATTATTATTATTATTATATATATATACTTCACTTTAACGTTAAGGGATGCATGTGATGCGGGTACGGTTTAAAAGCTTGAAACATGGGGCAGTGTCAGACAAGGAAGAAAAAAAAAAAAAGATAAAGATAAGGAGTGGTTGAAACCTGTTTGGTAACTGCTTTATCTGCAGGTTGAAAGTTGAATTTGAGTTGGAGAAAACCGTCTCCAACGGGCAGAAGGTTGGATTTAGCCATATGTTTAAAAATATGTTTAAGATCCATCTTAACTCTTTGAATTCCTCACCTAAGAAACATACGAAAACATTGTTTAAAAATAAAATACTCCTTATGTGTCCTATGTATAAGGTTCTTAAACTTTGAAAGTGGTTTACTAGGCTGACCGTCCTATGGTTAAGTTTTTATCTAAGTCAATTAGATGTGGTTTCCTAGTGGATCCTATATGATTAGGCTTTTCAACTACTAACTTCCATAAAGTCAACAACTATTAACTTCCACAAAGTCAACAATTGCAACTTCTATAAAGTTAACAAGAGAGGCATTTCATGACCTAATACAACAGCAACATTATGGTTGATAGGCCATATTAACTCACAAAATGAACCTAAAATAAATAAATCTCACTTCACAAGAAAAGCATTGCGCTTTACCTTGTTCCATGAGTTATCCATCTATCTAAAGGTTGGGTTCACCTCATCAAGGGTAACATGATATGCAAGTGAGGTGTGTGAGGGAGCATACACATAAAATTAACGTTTGAAAATAACAAAATATTAAATAAAATAACAAAATAAGAAAACTTACAAGGTACTCCATGCCAACTACAAGACAAAAGTTAGTAGTTGAAAAACCCCAAAATTAAAGTATAAATGGCTTGACCCCTCAATGTTCTTAGTGGAGTTGCCAAAACTATTGACATGTCAAAATGGATAGAGTCACCATCTATCCTAAAGTTCTACGTAGAAATTAACTACGTTTGGAGGGTTGACTAAGCATGGGAAAGGTGCTAAGCGCCCCACAACTTCCATATAAATATGGTTACCACATACTTTAATTTTGAGGAAATTTCAATAAATGATAATTACCAAGAAAAATAAACACAAAAAAAAAAAATCAATTAAAACACTTCATTATCTTTTCCCGTTTCTATTTTTTTATTTTGTTTCTATTTTTAATTTTTGTTCCATTTTTGTTTTTTCTTTTTCTGTTTTTTTGTTTTCGTTTCTGGTTTTCTTTTCAATCTAATGCATTTTAAAAAAGAATTGCAAATCCTTAAAAAAACTTATGATATGAAAAACGAAATTAACTTTTCTAAAAAAATGCTATTCATTATTTTAGATTACCAGATCATAAAACTATCTCATTAGTACCTATATCATTACCCAAGCAAGAACTTCTAAATGATACCCAAGTACAAGGGAACAAAAAATAGTGGCTAAACTTAACATGATGGTAATCGGTTTTGTTAAATTACTTTGATTAAATAAGATAACAGCCATGAAACCAGGGGATGAACAAAACAGGAGAAAAACAAATGAAGAAAGAAAATATATATGTAACCAGATCTAGATACACCCAATAAAATTTTTTTCAGAAACAAATTAATATGGCAGCCAAGAAACAAAAGAAATTGAAAAAAAAGGAAACAGATATAGAAAATTGAGATTCAAGATTCACATTCTTCCATATTCTCAAAAAACACACCTGAAATGGAGAAAAGCCAATTTATTTATTTGCTGCAAACTTCAAAATACAAGATTTCCTCCTTCCTTTGCTTGACACCTTTTCTACCGGCTCTCGGATTTCTTCCCCTTCTCCCTCAATTTTTGAATGCCCTATCTAAAGCCAAAGACCCACTTTTTATAGACAAAAGTGAAAACCCAATCCTATTATGCTTCTAATATGCAATCCAAATTCCTAAGATAACAACCCAATCCTATTTGGAATGAGATTTCTTAGTTCTTCCCACATCTACCTGTTTTCAAGTCTAGATTCATACTTTTTAGGCATTAGGACTCTCACCTTGAATCAATTTCAGACTCCTTGTAGTTGATGACTTATGGTTGTAGGTCTTATCCAAATCCTTCAATTGGCCAAGCTTATCTTTGAAGAAATCTCCCTTAGCGTCATGATTCATCCAAACTAAAGTTGATGAAAAAGGAAATTTGAGAAAGGAGGTGCGGCAAGAACAAGAGAGGTTAGGGTTCAACTAAAACCCTAGCCTTTTTCTTTTTATTTTTATTTTTGCTACCAATGACGTCGTTTTGCCATTTGCTCCTCTTAGCCCTTCAAGTTTCCAATCTTTATAAAAATAGTCCATTGACTTCTAATTTTATCATTGAGCCCCTGACAAAAATTGAGTTATTACAACAAGAATTCTCAACTCAAATATTGAATTTTAAAAATATTAATTAAAATATAATACTTTTGAAGATGTTCTCCATGAAAGACATCTTAAAAAAACACTTTTCTCTATATGTATGTATAAGAGAATAGTACATATTAGTCCTAATTTTTATAAAAAAAATTAGAATTTCAACTTTAAAAATATCACTATGTAATGAATATTTTTAAAAATCAAATATTAGATTTAGTATTTTATTCATATAAATCATACATATTAATTTTTAAGAAAATGATTGGTATATACTTCGATTTAACACACATTTCAACATCTACCTGATTCAGCCATTAAAATATATTATAAGTATAACTAATTTTTATTCATGTAAATCATACATGTTAATTTTTTTTAAATGATTAATATATATTTTGGTTTAACACACCTTTCAACATTTACCCGATTCAGCCATTAAAATATACTATAAAAATAGCTGATTCAATCATTTCTTTTCAAATTATATGCATGATTATATTTTTAAAACTTGTCTGCCTTTAATTTTAATTCAAAAAATAATATTTTTTAATAAGTGTACTATGTAGTGTGTTAAACCAGAAGAAATATCAATCAATATCTTAATTTTTAAATTGATTTAACATCTATAATCATTTGATCAAGAAACTTATATTTTTTAGAATATATTTAATATTGTTAAATTTTGTATAATTTGTGAATTAGTTAGATATATTCAATTAATTTAAAAGTTGACATGCATGTTTTAAATAGAATACTAAATCCAACTATTGGTTTTTAAAAATATTTATTAAAGAGTGGTATTTTTTAGATTGAAACTATAATTTTTTATATGAGTCAAAATTGATATACACCATTTTCTATATATAATATTTATTTATTTATTTTTATATATGAAAAATACAGGTCTCAATACTTGACTCAGTACTTGACAGATATGTAATTTTCAAATCTAATATTTAACTGTTTCTTTTCAAATGCAAGTAAAATACCTATTTAACCAGATCCAGTTCCTAAATATACCAGGAAGAGGGATCCATTTACACAAAATTTTACATATTACACTTATATAAAATTTTAACAATTCATTTCTTCGCTTTCAATAGTTTAAATTTATCAAAACTTTTTAGATGAAAAAGATAATTATCTTTTAAAATGTGAATAAATCACAACTATTGAAAATGATAAATAAATGGTTGAGATTATGTATAGATATACTACATAAGATTTGTATATAAATAGATCCTTACTCGTATGCCAAATAGACCGTTCCCCAATGTGCATTCTAATATTGTATTTCTCAAAGTAGTCAATACCGTACCGGCATGCGTACCGATTTTGTTACTAGAACGGTACGTATCGGATACCAGAATTTTTCACGTATCATTTCGGATTTATCGTTATAAAAAAAAATTATGAAAAATTTTGAGGAGAAGTTGAAGAAAAAAAACAAGAAAAGGACTCAATTGAAAAAATTAAAAAGCTGAGGATGAAATTTACTAAAATAAATTCATAAGCCCAGCCCAATATTGAGCAGCCCATCAAAACCCAAATTTAAGAAAGCCCTAGTTTCCTCCTTTTAAAGGGAGAAGGAGGATGTGCGGTTGC